TGTGGGCAGACATGATTCACAAATGGCAGAAGGAAACTCCACACTAAGCCTAGCTTGAGCATGTAAGATCTCAAAGCCAGCACATACAGTTACACACTTCCTCCAACAAGGCCACACCTATTTCAACAAGGCCATACCTTCTAATAGCGCTACTCCCTATGGGCCAAGCATTCAAACACATGAGTCTACAGAGGCCATTCCTATTTAAACCACCACAGCATTCTTGACAGTAAGGACGTGTTTTGGTATTTTGTTGGTGATGCTTAAAAAGTATTCTTCCTTTTTCACCCTCACTCAGGGATGGTAAAGAGAGGCTTGTGTATACATAAATCTGGTTATAATTCTGTCCTGGTGACAAGCTTAGTTTCTAGAGACATGATGTAGGCCACTAAGCAGAAACTGAATGACATCAGGAATCCCCAGTTAAAAGTCAAGATTGGTCTTCCATAAATGTTCTCATGTTTCTCATTCAGATTCCAGAACTTCTCTGACTTTTTTACAAAAGGAAAACACACACACATCTGTGCTGGAAGGAAGTATGTAGAGAGTTCATGTTCACCCCTCTAACATCGTCAAATGCTGCCTGTTGGTCTTGTGCCAAAAAGCAAGGCCTCCAATTCAAGTCACACTTCCTTCCAAAGAGGAAGATGAACTTGGGCTTGGACAGAGTATGCTTATAATTTTGACTCAAATAAACCTAACTTTCCTAAACTTGTATTCGCTTATCTCTAAAATGTGGACAAGGGCACCCACCTATGAGGTGCACGTAAATACTTAATGAGTTAACAGGATGAGTTAGAACAGTGATTGGCAGTCGCTAAGATCAAAACACGTGCTCACTCATCACTGTGGGGAAAGCGAGGATGAGACAAATAAACTAAGAGCTAGAACGCAGACTAAGTCCACATAAAATAGTCTTGTATTCGCTTTTTCCTGAGAAGCATTGTCTTGAAAGGTCCACCTGTTTTTGTCTGGCAATTTCACTATCCACAATGACTATTTCCTCCTAAATCAGACTTTAGCAAGGCTGCAGAATGGTTTCTGCGGAAGCCAAGATCTCGTGTTTCGTGGTTCTTGTCTACTTGGAGAAAGAGGTCAACCCATTTAAAAGAAGAAATTTTCTCAGGAAACCTCTGTGTTCCTTTTGATCAAAGCTGGTCACATGGTCATTGAGCTAGTTAGCCATCTGTATGGGAAATGGAAATATTCTTGGAGTTGCTGGCTGTAGTGATATTTTATTTGTGTTTTAATAAATAAAGATCGCCTGTTGATCAGAGTGCAAAGCTAGCCACACTAGTGAGCCACACAGATCAGGCACACACCTTTAATTCCGGCAGACACACTAGTTAGCTATAGAGACTGGGCAGTGGTGATGCACGCCTTTAATAACAGTAAGAGAGAGAAATATAAGGCAGGATGAAATGGGAACTTGTTCTCTTTTCAATCTGAAGATTTTATAGAGGTAAAAACTCTCTAGTGGCTTGGCTGCGTTGCTTCTCTGATCTTTCAGCTTAAACTCCAAAATCTGTCTCAAGAGTTTTTATTATTCATTCTACAGGGACCACTGAAAAATTTCAGCTGCCCCTCTTCCCTATGGCCTCCCTCGAGCCCACTGTGCCTCCCTCCCTCCCTTCCTTCCTTGCTTCTTGTTCAATAAAATCTTTAAGATGGAAGAGAATCAAATCTTTTTAACATTATATGTCTCCAAGTGATTAGTGATTACAAGAGAAGGATGAAAGATGATAGAGGTGGATGTCTAAAGATCTTTCAAGAAGAAGGAGCTAGGAACCAGAGCCCAGGTAAGGAGTGCTGGCCTCATGGAAGGGACACAAGAAGGAGCAAGCAGGTTCCAGTGTCCTTTCAGAAGCCAGCATAGGAAGATAATTGCTAGCAACATCTACCTTCTATGTGCATACATGCATATGTGTTCTGTGACGCTATTTCTGGGAACAAATGTCTACTCACTCCAAGATAGGGAACGAGCACAGATCAAAGTAAGGAAACCACCCTAGTCCTATTTGGTGAACCAACAAGTTTTATTGGGGTTACTTACAGGAATATGACTAAGGGGTTACTTAGAGGAGTGTGGATGAAGGATTACTTACAGGAGCCAAAATGACACAGGAGCTGCATCACCAAAGCCCTCCCTAGCATGAGTGACAGCTCACAAAGCTGGGACCCTGGAGCACACTGCACAGCCTGCAGACAGCTCAGCAGGTTAGAGAGTGTCCCTTCCAGGTGCCCCTGTTATTCTGGGCCTCTTCCAGGCAGCTTAGCTGGTCTTCACTTCTTCCAGGAGACTGGGCTTACCTGAGAGTCTTTTCTCAGCAGTCTTTACTGTGTATATATTCTTGGAAAGGAACGGACCTAATGAATCTGGTTAGTTTCAGGGACTTCCTGAAGCCATTTTGAATCGTTTATTTCCTATCTTAATGAGCTTTCCTGAAATATTTTAATCCCCCATCTCCAACTTAGAACATCCCATTGTTTAACCTCCCTGAAAACATCTGTTTTAAGAACTTTTCCTCCAAGATGAATTGTTTTAATTTCAGAGAAAACTGTTACACAACTATACACATGCATGCGCACTACATGAACACATATGTACACCACATGTACACAGAGACACACACAGAGACACACACAGAGAGACACAAACACACACTGAACTACGTATATGTTGAAGCTGTAAAAGTCAATTAGGAACAATTCCACACTGAGAGAGACTAAGGTGCGACAATAACTCAGTGTCACTTGGAACCCTGGACATCAGTGGAATGGGGTCTGTAGTTTGTTTCCTAGTCTTGCATCCATATTCATTTCTTGGCTTTGATTAAATGCGTTGTTATTGCTGTGGTCCTGCAGAGAAATGTGCCCCAAGGCCCATGTGTTTGAACACCTGGTCCCCAGCTGGAAGTGCTTTGGGAAGGTTGTGGAAGGTTGTGAATCACTGGGCGTGGACCTCGGGTTTTATAGGCCTCTTCCATTTCCTGTCTGCTCTCTGCTTTCTAAGCAGTGGTGCTGTGTGACCATCTACCTCACGATACGCCTGCCATGCCTTCCCAAATGTGGATGGACTAAATCCCTTTTTAAACGCTGAGCCCAAATACACCCTTCCATCCTGAAGTCACTTCTGGTCAGGTATTTTCTCACAGTGACTAGATACGTAACTGACACAATTGTGTTAGAGGAAAGAAGGCCAAGGAAAGATGGGACTCTCAATACTATTTCTGACATGTTTTCTGTATTCAAAACAAAAAAATCTAAAAGAAATCCTTGTAAACTAAGTTTTCCTTTATTCTAATTACTTAGAAATAGACTTCTTTGTTTGTTTGTTTTTTGTTGTTGTTGTTTTGTTTTGTTTTTTTTTGGGGGGGGGTTTGATTTTTCGAGACAAGGTTTCTTAGTGTAGCCCTGGCTGTCCTGGAACTTGCTCTGTAGACCAGTCTGGCCTCAAGCTCACAGATCTGCCTGACTCTGTCTCCTGAGTGTTGAGAGTTAAAGCATGCACCACCACCACCTGACTAGAAACAGCTTGCTTGCTTGCTTGCTTGCTTGCTTGCTTTTCTTTTTTTTCTTTCTTTCTTTTCTTTTTTTTTTTTTTGAGACAGGATTTCTCTATAGCTTTGGAGCCTATTCTGGAACCAGCACTTGTAGACCAGACTGATCTCGAACTCACAGAGAGTCACCTGCCTCTGCCTCCAGAGTGCTGGGATTAAAGGCGTGCGCCACCACCGCCAGACTAGAAATAGTTTTAAACATCAACTGAAAAGGTAGAATATCAGCCAGCAACACTTAAAACTGAGGCAAATAAAGGCCACACACAGTCTCTCACTATTCCTTTCTATCCGGGTCTTCAAGTTCAGGAGCCTCCCCTCAGCTGAAAGACAAATCCCCAAGTTTAAAAGTCTAGTCAGTACTCTTCCTTACAGGAGCCTTTCCATGTCACTCTCTGAATTTCCCCAGTCTGGTGCTGTTTTTTGCAGCAACTCCCTTTCCCCCAACCGTGCTGCGAGCAAGCCATCTCCTGGTCTGGCCTGGCCTGCCCTCAAGAGAGGAAACCGACTGGGTGTGGTGGCGCAGGTCTGCAGTCCCCACATTCATGAGGCTGAGGCAGGAGGATCACGATTTCATGGCCAATGCAGGCTATGTAGTGAGTCTGATGTGTGGATGATGTAGTGAGAACCAGTCTCAAAAGACAAACAAAATATGTAAGTTTGATTTTTTTTTCTTTTTTGAAAGAAAGACAAAAAGCCCGAGTTGGCATGTAGACTCTTGGGCCAGTCTCAGTGAACAAACACAACTTGGTTCTACCTTGTAGCTGAGAGGGATGGGTAGGTATGACTCTCAAAATATCTTTCAAATATTGGCTGGAATCTTGTTAATATGATTCTCCTTGCGTCATGCTTATGAAATAGATTTCTTCACACACATGGGTGTTAGTGTCACGCACAAGCCCAGGAAGCTCAGAGGTAGCAATGGCCTCCCCCCTGGTAGCGTCTATTCTGCAAGCATGTTCTTGGGCTCTGCTTCTGCCATGTTCGTAGGCCAGGTTCTTCTGAAGAAGCCAGATTTTGGTATGTAGACTTTCCTCTCTTTCCTTTAAGCATTTTTTCCAAGCATGGAATTCAGAGGAGAGGTCACTTTTCTGCCTGGGAATCTGTCTGCTTTCTTTTTAAGGCCATTTCTATATTGAGACGGTCCTAGGTCCAGGCGGCCATGAAGTGTCCTGGTCCCGCTTCCCTGAGCAAGTGTCCCCATCGTCCCTTGCTGTTTGTCACCTCAACTGTCCTTCAGAGGACACGACCTTCTAACTCTCCTCCATCCCTGATAGTTCTGCTGGGGTGGAAAAAACTATCTAATGATAAACTAGTTGTTTTTTTCTTTGAGTTCTTATCTATGCAACTCTGGTCCAAGGCTGGATCGATCTGGTTTTCATCCATCTAATTGGAGAGGTTACAGCAGGATGGACAGAAGTTTGGACATAACAGTCTGGGAAAACGTCTCCCATAAACCTGACTTGATACATCTGTCCTGCTGGCAGCCGGAGGCCACCAAGAATCCAGCTGGCTCTTTGCCTCTTCTAAGAGACTCCGTCAGACAAGGAGCTCCCTAAAGCCCTTCACTCAGACTGAAGAAGGCATCCTGCCCAAGACAGTCACAGAGAAGTGGGCATGCAGTAGGCTCACGTGTGATAGTCCAGGTGCACAAGGAAGACTCGCACATCCGGCAATGAGAACAAGATGGGAGAGAGAGCAGTTCACCCTCGCCCTTGCTCTTCAGAACACCATTCTCCTACAGCCACGTGCAACCCAGCCTTCACTTTCATCCTGGTCCGGTTCTGCTCGCTAAGATGATACAACATAAATCTAGGTTGCTGATGTCCAGTTTCCAGAGTAAATACGGTCATTTTTTTTACATGGATGATCCAGCCTAGAACATCCTGTACTTCGCTTTCAGGCCGACACACTCTAGCATCGCCGGCTTTAAAGGAAGTCCACCAGTGTGAGTAGTGTGAGCCCTTTGCTCACCTCCTGCTTCGCAGTTCACACTGCTGACCGTGTGAAAGGAGGTCACACCACCCCTGGGTAAGAGTCTGGGCTTTTTCGGGGGTCTTCGTCATGTTGGTGATGCTGCTGTACTGAAGAGGTTTCCAGGGCTCACAGGTGAAGCAAATTCTCTTGGTGGACTTCTGGCCCTCAACGGAGATTGCGTAATGACTATTGCATGGTTTTAACTTCAGTTTTCCTGGTCCTGCAGCTCACAACACATACCAACCACTGGTGGGGGCGTGTGTGTGCACAACAGCCCCAGAAAGGGCTGTGAGCCTTAACTTGCCTCTCTCTATAACTTGTCTAGGAGGTTCTGGAAGATACTGGAAGGAGGGGCTGCAGAACCCTGGCTGCCATAGCACTGGCCTCTGTTTGATGAGGGGAATAATCCGTGGAACTCGGTGACATTTTCTTTCTATTTATTCTTTATATTTTAATGGAATTCTGTGGTCCAGACTGGGTTTCAGGCTCCCGGCTCTCAGAGTCAGCTGAAGTACAAGGGGGAAAGAAAGTAGTGGGGGGAATTAGATTCTTGATTTGTGTCCAGATGGTCCCAGCCGAAAATAGACTCCGAGATTCTCACTGCAGACTTGCCTCTGGTATGAAACTCCCCACCCCCTTCACTTGAGGTCTTCTTGGTAAGAGCGGGAATGGGAGACACACTGGGAACATTCATTTCTCTTTTTCCCAGCCGTGTATTAAAAGGCCTGTGCAGGTTCCAGGCCAGGGCTTCTGAGGAACACCAGAGCTGCACCACACACACACAACAGGCTGGGGTGATGTGATTTTAACCATCCTGGCTCGAAGGCTATCCTGAGTGTGTGTGGCAGCAGGGAAGCATGCTGGGATGCACAGCAGCAGTTGGCCCAGAGGGGTCCATTCAAGCCTGCCACCAGCAGAGTGGCCTGCTCGCACTTACCTGGCACCATGTTCAGGAAGCTTAAACAAGGAGACAGAGAGGGCCTAGCCCGTGCTCTCCAGGTACAGCCATCTTTCACAGAGACACTCGCTACCTGCTTCCCTTAGGGAGAGGTGGACAGGCTTCCTTGTGCCCTGCTCAAAGGTCAGCTGAGAGATGAGGGGATGGGGGTCATCTGTGAGGGCAGCCCAAAGAGCCTTGAAGATGCTCATCCATTGGAAATAGGAAAAAAAATGAGATTTCAGGGCTCACCTCAGATTCTATAAGCTACGATTTGATAACAAAACCCAACCTGACCTAGAGTCTAGTATCAGCCAGTCACACCCCATTTGGACAGCCACCCCAAGTATTATCACAGAGTTCCTGTCATTTCTTGATGTTTGTTCACTGGGAGCCGTAGCCACTCTAGACACTACACACAGTTGCTGTCTGTCCTAAAGTCTGATACACTCTCTTCTGCCAGGCAACATAGTGATTGTCCTTTGGATACCAGTAAAATGAATTGTGATCAGGTAGAAGGTGAAGGAAAGAAAGAAAGAAATAAAGAAAGAAAGAAAGAAAGAAAGAAAGAAAGAAAGAAAGAAAGAAAGAAATCACATGAGTCTTTCTCAATTGGATTTCCTTTCTAACTAACGTGTGAACAGCCTCAGATGATGTCTTCGTCACTGTTCCATTGCTGTGAAAAGTCACCTTGACTATGGCGGCTCTTATAGAAGAACGCATCTGACTGGGGCTCGTTGACAGTTGCAGAGGTTTAGTCCACTACCATCATGGAGGTAGGTGACCTCCATGACAACACACGGGCAGACATGGTGCTGAAGAAGTAGCTGTGAGTTCTACATCTGAATCTGAAGGCAGCAGGAAGAGAGAGACACTGGGCCTGGCTTAGGCTTTTGAAACCTCAAAGCCCACCCCCAGTGACACACTTCTTCCAACAAGGCCACACCTACACACCTACTCCAACAAAGCCACACCCACTCCAATAAGGCCACACCTACTCCAACAAGGCCACACCTACTCCAACAAGGTCACACCTCTTAATTCTTCTCAAGTAGTTACACTCCCTGATGACTAAGGAGGATAGTCATCCTCCTATTTGACATAGGCTCAAATATAGGAGCCTATGGAGACCATTCTCATTCAAACCACCACAGATGGCTAGGGCTGGGAAGACAAGACCCAGGATAGTGTCTGAACACGGAACTAGCAAAAATTCTCAAGAAAGTAACCCCATGAAGGACAGACTGAGAACAGCAGGACTGTGAGCATCTCTAAGACATATTGCAGCACAAACCCAGCCCAAACATCTCAGCCTGGAGACTTAGGGTTTGCCTGTGGCCACATTTAGGTTCTGACACTGGTGACTTCTTTTAGAACTTGAGGATTAAAACTGAAGCCTTTCATATCCTCTTATTTGGTGTTTGCTCGGTTTCAAAACACTGTGTGAGTGAAGCTGTCAATATGTTTAAATATTAATAATAATAGAATAATAATAATAATCTGCTGCATTTTATAATCATCCAAGCACTCCATATTTCTTATTTCTTCCTTTCAATCTGGGACAGACCTCTGAGGGATCAAGGAGATGGCAGGATTTTACAGGCCATTAAGCTCCCTGAGGGTAGGGACCATTCTGTTTGTCACTGGAACCTAAGCAGTAGTACCTTGTCACGGAGAGCCTAGATATTTACGTAAATACCTGACGAAGAAAGGGATGGATGACTAGGTGGGAGGAGGAGTGGGTACGTGGGTGGATGAACAGATGGGTACACGGGTGGAGGAATAGATGGGTACATGTGTGGAAGAATAGATGGGTACATGGGTGGATGAATAGTTGGGCACATGGGTGGATGAATAGATGGGTACAAGGGTGGATGAATAGTTGGGTACATGGGTGGATGAATAGATGGGTGACTAGAATTCGCCTTGATTTTTAAAATTGATTCAATGGTTAGGAAAATGACTCAATGGGCAAAGTGCTTGTTGAGGGAGCAGAAAAAGCTGAGTTTGGGTTCCCAGCATCTCACACAGCTGGATGCAGTGATGCATCTGGAACTAACCCCAGCACTATGAGGTGGGACGGGTTTGATGACAGTCACTAGCTGAAACAGTATGCTCCAGGTTTAAAGAGAGTCCCTGTCTCAAAATAACAGAGGGAAGCATTAGAGAGTTTGCTGTGGGATTGTGTCTCCTAGCAACATCAGAAACTACACCTGCAACTCTCACAAACCTGACGACCAAATGTGAGCTAAACAATGATGGCACCAACAAACACACCAAACTGCGTGGGGAAAAGTCCCATGAGGTCTCGACTTATACCACAGGCAGTTAAGTAAATCTGGGTGCATGAGAGGTGGTCCTCCCAGAGACGAACACACCAACTGTGTGCCCAGTGACAAATCATCAGTCCTGAAAACACACGGAGGTGCAAGTAATATTATATGGATTAAACATGTTATATTCAGGAATATACATACATATACACATACATACAAATAATAACAACTAATGAAAAAGGGGGCCATGAATCTGAAGGAGTGGGAACATATATGGTAGGGTTTGGAGGGAGGAACTTTGTAATTAAATTTGAAAGGGTCATCTAATGCTGACCTCTGACCTCCATAAGTACATATACAGATGAGTATACCACATACACATGTGTACACACACATACAACATATATACTTACAAAAATAGACTGAGAGACAGGGAAAGAGAGAATAAGCAAAAATATGTTCTTTAGAGAAAACAAATGTGTTTCTGAATTCTGCCTACTAATGAGTGGTTTTGTCCAAGTTTCTGAACTTTATTTTTGTCACATACAAAACAAGGATAATGATGTTGTTTCTGCTTCATGTTGGGAAAAAACAACAGCCCAGATTTGTTCAGCATCATAGCTGTGAGGAAAAGAGCCATGGTTGGAATTGGCACTACCGATTTCCAGGCCTTCGATTGTCCTAACATTGTAATAGAGAAGACAACAGCGAACTCTTTCCAAGTGTCCTTGTAGGGTACTGCTTAGAAGTGGCAAACACATTAGGACATTGCTACTGAAGTATCATTAGTATTCTCACATGATAGATGCAGAAATGAGAACTCTGAGCATCAAGGTGACTTGCCCAAGCTTCCTCGGTGGAGTTGGAGCTGGAGCTCAGGGTTGACTTGGCCACCTGTTACATCTTCACCTTGCCTCACACCAGGTCCAAGGTCAGAAGCCTCTTGTGTTCTCCATCTGCCCTGGAAACAGACTGGCAGTGCCTGCCCAAGGGTCTGGTCCTGAACTGAAGCAGCAGCCGTAGTTTGACCGACACTCCTGCAAAGCTGTACGATCTGGATGAAAAGCATGGCTTCCTAGAACCACATTCTAGGTCATAAAAGTGCTCTTGGGTTGTCCTTTTCTTTTTTCTTTTCTTTTATTCCTTTTTTTTTCAAATTCCAGACAATCTGAAAAACATCAATTAATGACAAGCTTTGTGAGACAAACCCCATGGAACCATTTCTGACCCAAAATACACCTGGAACATATGAAGACCTGTTAGAAAAGGTGCGGTGTAGGGAGATCTGGGGGAAATGAAAGCAGCTTAGCCTAAGTCTTTCCCTAGCTCTCTCTTACATCAACGGATGGCGCTACCTTCTAGCAAAGAAACGGGTATACAAAGCTGCTTAAGATTCTGATGCAGAATGTCCCAATGCGGGGCACACCTGTGATCAGGAGGGAGGAAAGGCAGGGTGAGGGAGAAAGAACCAGCTTTAATGCTGGAACAAATGGAAACACTTCATGGGTTGGGCTCAAACACGCTGGTCTCCAAGAGAGATAACTCTGTGCATTAAGGCTCAGCTACAAGCGAGCAAAGGGCCCAGTCTGAATTAGTCTAAAGCAAAACATGAATTCATGGATCCTGTAACTCATGAGCCTAAAGAGTTGTTGTAACTTGAATATTTGTGTCTTCTTCAAATTGCCGTTGAAAACCTACCCCACAATGAGATAGCATTTGGATGTGGGGCCTGGGGATGATATTTACGGTTTAGATGAGGGTATGAGGTGAGGATCCCTGGTGGCAATAGTGTTCTTTGCCTTTATCGGAAGCAGTCAGCGCTTCCTCTCTGCCTCCACTTCCTGCCCCCTCTATGTCTTTTTTTTTTCCTTCACAGACAGACAGACCTGCTCTGAATGTGACAGCAGCCCAGATTAAAGGACATGACGAAGAAACATGGGTTTTTCCCTTTTGCCCTCACTCTCTGTATCCTGTTGCCATGGTATTTCTTTATCAACCTTATTACCATCTTCCTCAGGATTCCACTGCAGACTGAAGACCAGCAGGTCTCCACGAAGTCCAGTCTTCAATGCTAGATTGAGACTACTGAGACACACAGTACTTGGATTGAACAAGTACTAGATTCTTGACCTCTAGTGTGAGGCAGCCATTGCTGAATTACCTGGACTGTATCCTATAAGCCAGTCTAATAATTTCCCTCTTAAGATATAGTTAAGATGCTGCTATTCAATCAGTACAGACCTGAAGTTGTGCTTATTAGGAATTGAGCAACAGGCTGGGAACTCAGAGTGTCTGTCAGCTTGGAGGAGGCATGCAACCTCTTGAGACCAGAGTACACCCACTGAAATTCTGGGACTCCTGACTGTGATCACGATGTTAACTCCTCAAAGCAGAACAACAAGGTTGGATGTTCAACCTATGTGGGAAAGAAAACACATTGTAAGGAACCTGCTAATCTTTATTTCCCCTCCCCCACCATTTCTTCATGAAAAGGATGGTCTTTCCTGGAAGGAGAAGGACACTCTACTCTGTGCTTCAAGGATGCTTACGCCTCAAATTTGGCACATCTCCCTACCTGCCTGCTGGGTGCCCAAGCTCTTCCTACAGTCAGATGGCACTGGCCCTGAGAAAGCCAGCGTAGATGCCAGGCTCTTTTCTGAAAGACAATATCAAGGCACTACACATTCATTACAGAGTTCTCTCACCTCATGTTCCAAGTAGTTTTATGGGTACAAATGCTGTTTGTACCACACTACTAGTACATGCTCATTGTACACACTAATGGGCTGTGCATCTGCCCCAGGACCTAGCAACTACTTCTCAGGTTTCTTTCCCATCTCTCTTTGTTTTCACATCCAGCAGGAGAGTGGATGTAGGAAATATGACCTATATGCAACAGCATATTTTCAGGGATGAGGAAATGCAAAATCTTTACATTTGCAGCAACATGGATAGAACTAGAGGACGTTGTGCTAAGCAAAATAAACCCAGCATCAAAAGACAGGTGGCAATCTCATGCTCCATTGCATCATGGGAATTGTTTCCACTGGATTAATTTATAGTCCCATCCTTTTCTCCATGTACCTTTTAACAAGTAATTGTTTTTCTGTTTTATCTCTTCGATTGTTTGTTTCTTAAGCCATTGTAATCGGAGTGAGGTAATATCTCATTGCATCTTCGATTGTCATTTCCCCAATGGCTCATGCTGTCAAGCACCTTCTCAGACAGCTACTGACTGTTGCATTTCTTGTTTTGAGAAGTGACTTCTGGCATTATTTGTCCAGATTTAGTTGGCTCATCTATTTTTTATTAGGCTTTTTGAGCTCTTTGTGTATTCTGGATAGCAATCCTCTGTCCAGCGAGAAACTGGCACAGGTGTGCTCTCCTTCTGCGGGCCGAGGCTTCTCTCTGTTGAGTGTCTCCTGTGCTGCAGGAGATGATGTGATCCTGTTTTTCGAGTTCTGCTTTGTTTCCTCTGCATTTGGCATTCTGTCCACAGAGTCGTTGCTCATAACAATGTGTTGAAGAACCTCCCCCGTGATTTCTTGGTTTCCCTTTAAAGTTTGACTTTTACAGACTACCCTCCATATGGTATTCTAACGATGAAGAAACTGACAGACATGGCCTGGGTCAGGCAAGGTTTGAAGATGCAAAGAGCTTGGGAAAGGGACAGAAAACTGTGTGCATGGATAGGTTTTAACCACTCCACAGTTGTCCTGAGGCCTAAGCACTCGAGCAAGTCCCAAACTGAACCATCTGTGTGAGAAAAAGGGGGCCCAAATAGGCACGGGGTGGGGTGGGGTGGGGTGGAGGGTTCCCAACTAGTGAGGTGCTAGCTTTGCACCCATATGAGTAAGCAAGACTAGGAGCATTTTCCCACGCCAGGTTCCAAGGAGAAAAGGGAAGCAATCATATGATCCTCCCTGCTTGTCTCCTGTCAGTCATGGCTGTGAGTTCATCCTAGAAAGCTTTGACACCGAAGCCTTGAAGGTTGTTAGGAGCAACTACAAGGGAAGTGATACTCCCATGGGCCTTGCACAGGGCCTAGGACTAGCAAACAAAGTCAGATCTGAGAGTCTAGGTCCCTGATACCCTCCCTGGCTCTCTTCTCACCTCTGCTCACCAGAGGGACTGCCATGTGCAGTGTATTTAAGAACATGAAACACCCCGTAGCACCTTCCTGCCAGGAATCTCCTGCATTATCTGGGCTTTACTTTGTAATCTTAAGCCGCTTTCACAATTGGCAGCTCCAGCCAGCTTCGATGGGACCAATCAGGCAGTTGCTGAACTCACTGAGGCCCCTCGGGCAGCTGACCCGCTTGTGAAGGTCTCAGAGGCTGTCTGCACAGCCTCACAGGGTTCCGGGATTGTAGATGCTAATATGAAAACATTCAATGTTGGGGGCTATTAAACAAATTTGTCCAACTGCAAGGGGAAGAAATGATCTCTGGATAGCTGTCTTAGCTGTTTCCCACACTACAGGAGATCGAAATTCCTTTCACCATCCTAGAGAGCAGCTGTGCTATTTGACTTCTATGTGATATTCTGCTAGAAGCCGCCAGTTCAGTCACTGGACAAGAAACTGCTATGTGCCTGGCCCAGCGAAGGCTGCCGGGCTCTCATGCTCCCGACAGGGGACAGATCCCAGACAAATCCCAACGTTAGGGAGCATCCACTTTGCAGTGGGAACAGCCATACCTGAGGCCACAGAAGCAGATCACAGGTCCAAGGCTGATAGTGAATGCAACACTTGTCACGGCAGAGCACTCCGGTTCCGCCTACCCTCTGGGGTCCATTTTGTGCTCAGACTCAAAGTGCAGCAGGATGTTTCCTGATAAGAGAGAGCCATGCCACGCACTGTACACAAGTACATCAGGGCACGTCCCCCAGCAGGGTTTCAGGGACTCATCAGCGGTAGGAGCCAAAGGAGAGTGAGTGCTGGGCAGCTTGTCCCACACACCTGTCACTCAGTCAGCCATTCATTCATTAATTCATTCATTCAGTAAGTCCCCCTGCAGTTTGCTATAGACCAGATACCGCTCTGGGAATCAGTATTGAAAAGAGCAAAAATCACTGCCCCGTGGAACTCCTGTCCCAGTGTGGTAATTCAGATGGCACAGCAGAATAGCAAGCATTATTGTCACAAGGCACTTCCTGTTCCCAAGGTTCTGTGTATTTCACCTTCACCACCCTGCTGGAAGGTTGGCACCATTATTAATCCCACTTTATAGAGAGGGAAACCGAAGAAGAGAGAAAGAAAGTTGTAGTGCGAATCTAATTGATCTTAATAATAAACGCCCGAAATCAGATATTGGGGGGTGCAAGCTGAAAGATCAGAGAAGCAGAACAGTCAGCCACTAGTTCTTACTTCTATGAAATCCTCAGGCTGAATGGGGTGTCCTGTCTCTACAAGTCCTCAGACTGATGGCTTTCTCTAGGATATCCCAGACTGAATCCTGAACTCCTGTCTCCGCCCGCCTTATGTTCCTCCCTCCACCCAGCCATATCCCTTCCCATCTCTACCTCCCTAGTGCTGGGATTAAAACCATCACTACCTGCCTCTGTTTCTCTTTGAGGCTGATTAAATCTCATGTAGCCTAGGCTGGCCTTGAACTCACAGAGATTCTTCTGCCTCTATCTCCCGAGTGCTGGGATTAAAGGTGTGCGCCACCCCTGCCCGGCCTCTATGGCTAGCTAGTGTGGCTAGCTCTGCACTCTGATCTTCAGGCAAGCTTTATTGGTTAAAGCACAAACAGAATATCAGCACAGAAAGTGGTCCCCCTAAGGTCGTCAGCTAGGAAGCAGAGTTGTGGGTTTGAACCTTAGCAAGGCAAAGCCTAGGGGAGGGGCTGCGGGCATATGGAGGGGAAAGGGTAGCCTGCAGATATAATTATGGTGGTAAAGAAAGTCCTCACAATGGGACACTGAGCAGGGGCGCTAGGAAGGAATGGGTGGAGCAATGCAAACAATTGGAGGACGAGCATCCAACGATTGGACAGTAAGTCCAAATGTCCCAGGGGTGTTTAGGAAGCTGAAGCTCCTAGGAAGGGGAAGTGGGATGCATTGAGTTCAGAGAGACAATGGACTGAAGGGCCTTGTTATGAAGGATCCTAGGGCAGCCTCAATGCAAGGGGTATCTCCTAAGCGAGACACAAAGCTATAGGTCACCATTATGATTCTTGCTAAATATTTCCAATCCCCGTGCCACACAATAAGATTATCCTTCCTGGCCCCCACTGAAAGTCATGTGACTTGTTCTCCCAACAGAATGGAAGCATGGGTAGATGGTTTCTTTCAGCTCAGAGTTTTAGAACTATTGTGTGCGAATTGCCATGTCTTTGTCCCTCTTTGGGTGAGCCTCCACTCTCTCGGGCCAGACACCAAGGGATCCCTATGAACAAGAGTTCCCTCAGCCAGTCCCATGGGTCTATGCAGTTTGAATGAGAAGTAGGTTGTGTTGGGTTAAGCCACTGAGACTATGTTGCTGCTACCTTGACAAGCTGACTGAAATGAAGTCCGTGAATGGGCTGGGTAAAAGGGAGATCTAGAAGCATCGTACTGGAAGCTGCTGCTGCTGATGATGATTGGCTGCTAAGGGTAAAGCGTGACAGCCCTGCCATAATGGAAGGAGAGGCAGCAGCAGTGGAGGCAAGGAGGGGTGAGCACCTGTGAGAGGGAACAACGGAAGTGTGACAGCAACTTAGACGGTGGGTGGAGGAGAAAGGAGACAAAGAGGACTCCAGAGCTTTCCGTGAAGATGAAAAGCCCTCATCTCTCTAAGCCATTCCCCTCCATGCTTGCCCTCCATTAAAAAACAAAAAACAAAAAAACCTTTGAAATGACAGGGAAAGCTGCCCACATTTTCACTATTTCAAGGGTCATTCTTCTTGGCTTAGCATTGTCCTTCCCAGATGTTTCATGTTGAAATGGATGAAGGCATTGCCTTCACAGGGACCAGTTCATTTTAGTTACTTGTAATTCCAAGAAACCCTGGTCCTCATCTCTTGCTTAATTTGGAGAAGCCATGGTCCGCAGAAGCAAGTGATCCTGTACAAGGTCAGGGAGAAACAACTGGGTTCCAAAGCAGAAGCCCCTGGCTCAGCAGGGTTTCCTTTCTATGCTCTGCCCAGCCTGGATGAGGGTGCTCTGGGCTGGGTTTGTGCCTCCCCAGGGATATACGAGGGGACGCACGAAAGGGATCACTGCCTTTACTCTTTTATGTCGCTCAGGCTCAAATAGAACTCGGGGAGCACCTTCAGTGACACTACCTTTGAATTCACTAGTTGTGATCCAGTGACCAAATCGGAGAAGAAAAATGATCATAAAAGGAACTGGGAGAAATATATCCTGCCTTGTTGGTGTGTCTCTGGCATCAAAAGGCATGGGGCACATTCGAGTCCCTTCTTCACTCTGTCCTGTGTGGCGTTTTCCTGCCTGCCAGCTTTGTGCTGTTCTTTTTCCAAAGCATTCTCTGCACTGCTCCCCATGGGTCGGGCACAGCTAAAAACAGACAGTGGCAGCCGCCTCTCCGTCTCCTAGCATCCCGTCTCCTAGCACACCGACTAGAACCGTTTGGATTATGCATCGCTGTGTCATACTCCAAATCTGAGAAGTGCCTGACTGCGATTTTTATTGGAGTTTTTATTATTCGTTGTACCTTTTAAAGCATCAATTTGAAATCATTAAATTGGAAACCTTCTCTGATGTTTCTGCGAAGCTTGGACAATGCCCATGGCCAGGCACTTTTGCTTGTCATAGACCTGTTCTGGAGTCCCAGGGAGCCAAACTGCCATTTTAGGCAGACTGGCGATGCCCCAGGGTGGCAGAGTGGTAAGCAGGAGGTTTAGATCAGAATCTTCTCTTCTGGGTGCTGCCAAAAGGATCACTGGAAGAGAAAAATACAGACACAGAGATTCTCAACCCTGGAGGCCAAGGAGCCACCTCAGAGCCCTCAGCAGCTGGAGGGACAGACTGCAAAGGGCCCCAGGCCCCCGTGTTTGGAAAATGTGTAGAATAAACTAAAACTGTGTTAACTTTCCCCCTCAGAAGTTTAAGAAAATATCTGCCTTACATAAAAGTGCCGAAAAGTGCATGGAAGTCTATAAAACCGTTAACCGTGGCAGGGTGTTTCCAGTGAACTCGCTTTCGTTGGAAAAGAGATGTCCCCATAAAAAGGCATGCTCTGTGCTCCATTCCTCCGAATATTCTGGACTTGGTGTGCTGGCTAAGAAGCCTCCCTTTCTTCCAGTGCAATTTCGTCTTTCCGTGCACACGTGCAGGATGTGTGGAAACATCTCTGAAGCCACACTTGGAACCATGCGACCGTGGGCTGGGCCTGGACACACAGCCTGTTTCGTATATTAACTGCATGCTAAACTCCACTAATGGCAAAGCCATATGTGCCGTCTTCAGTTTTTCAGCCCCCATTTATACCTTTAGTCTGGCCTAACTGATCCCAGCTGTTATTAAGGAACACAGTTTAAGCCCCCATTACAACAAAGACTTCTCTACAATGAATGATCTAAACAATGGC